TGGATGCAAGGTCAGCAGGGCAGGGCTAGGACTGTCCCGGCAGAGAGGCTGGGTGATGAGCCCTCGCTGAGCCTGCCCAGTCCTGTGAGGGTCCGACTGCCCCCGGAAGCTCCTGCGCAGTGCAGCAGCCGGCCTCGTGCAGGCACATTCCGATCACACGGGAGTCCCACAGGTGGGACAAGCAGCACCTGCAGGCTCAGCAACAACCTCCTCAGGGGCAAAGAATGTTCTGGCGTTCAGGCTGGCCAGATGTGGGGCTGCATGTGGCTCCTGGGGGGCAGGGGAAGTGGTCAGGGTCAGGGCACGCAGCGTGTTGTGGGTGGGACATGTGCCCCACGCTCACGGGAGGTCCTGGGGCCTCAGCCCGTGAGCAGTTAAGTGTTCAGACGACTATGCTGTCCTGAAGGGACCCCATGGGACTGTGTTCTTGCCATCACAGTGGCTTCTCCTGTTCCTTCAGGGGTGGGCTCTGCTTGCCCGGTGATGCAGTTCTCAGATGGAACCAAAGTGAGCGGTAGCTGGGCTGGGCCTCTGCCCACCCCCACCACACGATATCCAAGTCATTTGTGACAATGAGACTTCAAAATGCACCCTAGAGCTGTTACAAAGGCAAGGAGTGCAAGATGGAGCTGAGCACACGAGGAGGGGAGCCCAGAACAGCAGGCACTGGGAGGGGACAGTAGGTAAGTTCTGTGGCCACACAGGCACTGACCCCTCCAGCAAGGGCCCACTGCCCCTCCCACCCCCTGCTCAGGCCTGAAGGGTCCTGGTGCAGGTGGGCTCAGCATCCCCTCTCTAGAAGGCTGACCAGCTGAGACGGGTCAGGCACAGGCATCAGACTGCCAATCCAGGCCCTGCCTGCCCAGCACCCACACTGCAGAGCTGGGGACACAGATGGGAAAGAGGTGCCAGGGGCCCAGGACCTGCAGGAGGTTGTAGCCTGGGGATGCCAGGAGACTGTACCCCACTGCAAGGCTTGGCTTGTATGGTAAGGGCAGGGGAGGACCCAGTGGCTGGAAGGGTGAGGGTCAATCCTGGCAGGTGTTTCTGACATAGAAAACCACCTGGAGCCTCCGCCAATCGGTCTGGGTGTGCGGGGTCCTGTCTGTACCCACTGCGCTGGGCCAGTAATGGCATGATTTATCTGAGCTCCCCGGTCACTCCCCAGGGAGGCTGAACGGGAGTCCAGGTTCCCAGCTTCAGCCGGGTCCAGCCCCAGCTGTTGTGGGCGTTGGGAAGTGGACCAGGAACGGTATATCTGTCTCTGTCTTTCTCTGCCTTTCAAATTAAATGAGAATAAAGTTAAAAAGCCGACAACCTCACCAAGCCATTAGCTCTTGAACAAAGCTATTTTCAAGGAAACACAGATCAATGCCGACTTCCTGGGCGCATGCCTTACCCACGCAGGGATGGAGCCAGGGCTGCAGACGGTCAGCCGTGGAAAGCGTTTGTGCTGAGAGCCGCCTCCTGCAAGTGGGCCATGAGTGACAGATACGGAACTAAATATACCAAGGTAAAACAGCGAAGTCGTCTCACTGGAGGACACCTGGGGACACGGTCCTTCCCAACCCTCCTGAGTCCAGGGCTATGCGACTCTTCAGAATCTGCTTCGTGTTGCTCGGTGGTGGAAGGGGAATACAGAAGCACAGGCACAGTGGTCCACACCCTGGTCACTCCCCAAGTGGCCGCCACAGCCGGGTGGGTCAGGAGGGAGCCAGGAGCCCAGGGCTCTGGCGTACAGGGGCCCAAGAACTTGGGTCATCTTCGGCTTCCCTGGGAGCATTAGCAGGAAGCTGGATGGGAAGTAGAGCAGCCGGGACACATCCTGGTACCCGTGTATGATGCTGGCATTGCAGTTGGCAGCTTAGCCTGCTGTGCCCCAATGCCAGCCCCAAGTTCAAGTTTTGATGAATGGAACCAGCAAATCCACAGGATGCAGCCTAATGGTCCAGTGCTTTAGTTCCTGGTTGGACACATTCCATTGGACAAATCGCTCTGCTTCTGTAGTTCTGAGATTGTTCCTAAAACTCAGGTTTCAGTCAAGCATCAGGATTATTCAGCATGCCAGCCTGACCCTGATGCCACAGGTGCAGGCGTTCGGGCTGAGTCTCAGTGCACACTAGTCCTCTGCGGAGTCCCGCGGGCTGCACAGACTCTCTAGTGTAATTATGCCTTTCACCTCTTAAACCAGTGCAGGGACCAAGCTTGCCATGCTAGGACACCCTGGCTGCTTTCCATCTTCGTGAAAGGGGGCAAGGGAATGGAGACACGGAGCGACTGTCGTGCCGAGCTGACGCTGCTGTGGGTGGTGACGAGCCTGGGCATTGGGTCTGCAGGAGGAAGAGGAGGAAGAGGAGGAGGAGGAGGACTCCCTGGAAGGTCCTCGGCTACTCACCGTTCCCAGGGAACCATCCTCTACTGCGACCGCTTGCACAGGCTGGGCCCTGCTTCCCCCACCTGTAAAACACAAATACCTCTGGGTGGATGGGGAGGCGAAGGCCAGAAGTCGGGTACAGGAATAAGCTGCTGTTATTTCTTGGGGTAAATGATTTTCACTTAATCAATACTTATTTAGCGTCGACGAGAACCAAGCTCCTCCGGGGTCAGTCTGGTCAACAGAAGGAGCAGTTAAGATTAACCACCGTCTCCAACGAAGCCTGAGTCGTGGCACACGCTCTTCCCTTTGGTCTTTAGGACACCCTGGCCAGGAGGCGTCAGTCACAGAACTACTGAGTGGCCGGCCAGCTGGGCCCAAGGCAGCAAGGGTCCGGGGTGGAGTGCTCCGGCCCCCTCAGGCTCCCACGCTGTCTGCCAGGGCTGTGTGCCCCGAGCCAGCTCAGCAGGGGGAAGGAGGCAGTGCCAGAGCAAGAGCAGGATGCTTTGTGAGGTCGGACGGCTCTCCCCGGGGAGGAGGTGAACGCAGACCGGGGAACCCCTCGGCTCCTCCGTGCCCAGGAGCCCACTGGCCATCTGCCCCACCACACAACACAAGCCTAGATTCTAATTTTATTATTTTTAAAGATGTATTTATTTGAAAGAGAGAGCCATCGGCTGGTTTGTCTACTTCCTTGACGGCCACAACAGCTGGGGGCTGGACTAGGCCAAAATCAGAAGCCAGGAGCTTCTTCCAGGCGTCCCCCGTGGCTGCAGGGCCTAAACATTCGGTCATCTGTTGCTCTTTCCAGGCGTGTTAGCAGTGAGCTGGATGGGAAGCAAACCACCAGGACACGAACTGATGCCCGTACGGGATGCTGGCACTGCAAGCAGTGCTTAGTGCTATGCCGCAACCTTGGCTCCTCGGTAAATGTTTATTAAACAATAATGGGCCTGGTGCAGTGGCCTAGTGGCTAGAGTCCTCACCTTGCATGTGTTGGGGTCCCATATGGACGCCAGCATTCCTGCTTCCTATCCACCTCCCTGCCTGTGGCCTGGGAGGATGGCCAAAGCCGAAAGCCTTGGGACCCTACACCTGTGTGAGAGACCCAGAAGAGGCTCCTGGCTCCTGGCTTTGGATTGGCTCAGCTCCAGCCATTGTGGTCACTTGGGGAGTGAATCATCGGATGGAAAGTCTTCCTCTCTGTATATCTGTCTTTCCAATAAAAATAATTAAATCTTTTACATTAAAAAAAAATGGAGGAAGTCTACCTTGCCCAGACTTCTAAGTTGCTCTCTATTTGAAAGCAGCCTGATTGCGTTAGAAATGGCTCCGTCAGCTCTCCCTGGATAAGCACCCTGCTTCCTGCTGTTTAGGCAGTGACTGCCCAACTTCCCGTGTTCAGCATCCTTAGCTTCTAAAGAAACCGTGATCAGGAACGGAAATGACATTCGAAAACTTGTGCCACTCACCTTTCAGAGGACAGACTCCACTGGGATGCCCTCTAGCTGGCTCCCACGGCCACTCCAGATGCAAGAGCTGCCCATGAGGACATCCTGAGGGACAGCTTTCTCCACGTCCAAAACTGCTTCATGAGGCTCTTCTAGGCGTTTCTGCAGACGGGCAGTGCAGGGATAGTTGAGGGAACGGCATGGTCCTTGAAGGGGAAAAGCAAAAGCAAGCTTGTCCTCAGGTGCAGCTGGACACCCGGGGCCTCGATTCTGCAGAGCCCTGGCCTTCAGAGCAGGGACATGCCGCTGCGAGCCAGCCGGCACACAGTGCTGGGCTTCTGGCTTCTTCTGCAGTGCTGGAGGGAGGGCCGAGCAAAGCACTGTGAGCAGAAGCAGAAGAGGCACAGGGTGGCGCTTCCAGTTGGCCGTGCGCAGCCCGAGCCCCTTCTGGAGGAGACAACGCCCGCAGGCGCAGGGCTGGGACACCCCACAAGCTGCTCTGTCCCCAGGTGCAACACACCAGGTTAGAGTTAAGAAGTGCTTGAAGAATGCAAGAGCAGGTTCTGGCGGACCCAATACTGTACTTTTCTTGTGACATGTGGACAAATTCCTGCTTTTTAAAACGCTCTATCCTAAAGTCTTGCAATAGGTCACACCGATTGCTACACATCCCCTTGCAAGTACTGCAGAAGGCACTGTCTCTGAACTGCGTACAAAACAAACCCCGTAAAAAGAATGAAGTGCAACGGTGCAATTGAGTTTCCCTGTCGGCTTGAGGCACACAGACCGCACGCTGCTCTGCGTCCGGCAGTGTGTGTACTCCGGAACCCTCCGGAGACGCAGGCAGGCCTGTGCTAGGACCTGCGCAGCCCTTCTGGATTCTGCAGGCAGGCCAGCTTTCTGGCGGACCCTGAGGCGTGGCACTGGGAGCACTGGCGATGATGGTCTTTGTCTTAACAGTAAGGGTTGCCAAGGCAACAGCGGAGGTCTTGGCGGCTATGGGGGTCACACTGGGGGCAGAGGTGCCATCCACAGCCCCAGCTTTTCAGGTTGCTGCAACCTGCACCACCAGCCCCGCAGGGCAGGGCTTGGCCCGGCGCCGGTGTGCCCGCCCCCATCCCCTGACGTCTACATGACACTAACTCCACCAGGAATAAAACTCACACACACGCACGTTGGAGTATAAGATGTGGCTTTTTTTCAAAAGGTAGTTCATAAGCATTAAAAAGTATTCTCTCCAGATTATAAAAGGTTAGTTAAAACTGTTTAATAGGAAGAGTGTTGGGCAAGCAGAAAGAGCTTTCACGTGGAGGATTATAGCAACATCTGACTAGGGATGGTCAGACCGGATGTCAGGCAATCCTCTAGGTTCTCATTAAAAAGATGACTGATGGGCACATGCCATCTCGAGGCACATGCTGCTCCTAAGAAGCACAGCTCTCCTCCCAGCAACCAGAGCCTCTGTTTACGCACACAAACAGGCTTCCTGCTGCGCCCGGCAGGCTCGGGGACGTTCCTGCTGCGCCCGGCGAGCGCCCGGCAGTCCTGGCGCTGGCCTGCCTAGCACAGGTGCAGCACGGCTTTGTTGATCTCCGGGTTCGTCCAGTCGTTCCGGATGTCATCCAGGTGGTTGTCGAAGTCCACGAGCGTTTCGTAGGAGCGGCTGTCCAGCAGCGACGCCGAGATCCTCTGCGCCTCCGGCCAGTCTTCACAGTAGTCACTGCAGGTCAGACACGGGAGGTCAGCCGCGTCCAGCACCGCGGGACTAGAGCAGGGGGGCGGCGGGGCTTGAGGGCAGGAACCCTCCTAAAGACCGACGTGGCAATCAAGGCAGTGCTGCCCTTCGGGGAAGCGTGGAGCAGCTAAGGGCGGACAGCCGGGGCTTTCTGGGGGAGCGAAACAAACTAGTGCCCCCCCCCGTCCCCTCGCAGTCGGGGACACGCACGGTGCGGAGCCTCTCAAGAACATCCAATGAAACCCCGACAGGGCGGCTCCTGGGGGTCTCACTCACTGGTGGGGGTCACTCACTGGAGGGTCTCACTCACGGGGGGGTCACTCACTGGTGGGGGTCACTCACTGGTGGGGGAGCACTCACTGGTGGGGGTCTCTGCAGCGCCATCGGCTTTCATGGTGCTCGTACACGTGGATGGTGGGTGCTACACAGTCCATGGTAAACTTGGTGTTGTCCACCTGGGCAGGGGAAGACGTGGAAGGGAGAGCTGGGAAAGGCCACGCGTGGCTCCTGTCCGGCTCTCCCGGGAGTCCCACCACCTTTCTGGGCAATCAGACAGGGCAGCCCGCTGGGAGGGCTCAGCCTGTGGGTGCAGGGCCAATGTGGGTGCTGAGGCACCAGGCTAGGGATGCAGCCCGCCGAGTGCCCCAGGGGCTGTGCTGGCTCCTGACTGTGGGGCCCGCCCCGGGCCATCTGGGAAGTGTTAGAAACGAGACTGCTGGGCTTCGGTCAGCTCTGGGCAAGGCCTGAGAACCGGCCTTTACACAGTTAATTAGGGTAAAAAGGTTCAAGGGCTACAGGAAAGTGGGTAAGACTAGTATTTTGTCCATATTGTTTCCTTCATGTTTGAAGGGGGGTATTAAGGGAGAAGGCCCACCAAATTTCCCACGCTCCCCAGGTCCCGGATGTAGGGTATGCTCTGAGGTTCTTGCTCAAGTAGAACCAGCATTTCTAATCAGTTCCCAGTGCTCGGCTGCTGGGGAGCAGTGACGTTTAATGCCCACCCCTGCAGGACACTCTTGGGCTGCGGCCACGGCCCGAGAGCCACAGTCCACCGTGGGGAGCATGGCACCGGTGACTGGTCTCCTGCTGGCGAGCACCAACAGGCAACTTACCATGATGAGAGCTGTGTCGCTGAAGCCCTCTGCGATCCTGGAGGCCACCTTCTCCGCGACCTGGTTCGGACTGCCAGAAGAACCAGTCAGTCCTGTTGCACCCAGTCAACGTCACTCAACGTCACTCAATGCTGCCTCCGTCAGGAACAGCCAGACTACCAAGCACCAGAGCCAGACAGACTGACAGAGTCGAGGGGGTGCCTGTACTGCCAGGGTGCCCACCCTGCTGAGGGTCACCGGAGCCTGGGCTCAGCCTCCTGGACCACCTTCTGCAGCCCCATGCTGGCAAAGGACTCGGCTGCAGGTCCCAGGAGCCTCACAGCTGCTGCTGGCACCTCCACACGCCCACGCAGCAGGCCCCCACAACAGAGGCCCCACCCCTGGGCTTTCTCAGGAAAGGCAGGCTCCCCTCCTGTGGCCCTGCAACACCCTCCATCACATTCTGAGTTCAAGGAGAGAACAGCACTAACTCACTTTCCAACATCCTGCCCACCCTACCTGTCGGGCTCTGGCTCCTGCTCTGTGGGCTGTCCAGGGGTCTACTAAGACCCCCACACCCCCACATGCCTCCCCACGGGGGCCGCTGCTCTCCCAGGTGCAAGTCACTTAGGACCTACCAGGCCACAAACCCTGCACATGACAGGGTTAACTCAGTGCTATTTCCAGAGCAAGAGCACATTTTCAGTTAGACCAGGAGAAGAGGAGCTGGTTTTCCAGATCTTAAACAGAAAACCCAGCTCCTCTCCATTTCCAAGCTGGGGACCTCTGGGAAGTTCCTGTCTGGGAGAACGTCCTCACCTGTGAGCCCACCGTTAGAGGACCCGAGAGCCTGAGGCCAGCGCTGGCCTATGTCCTTCCTGGACATGACACAGGGCCTGCAGCAGGTGGACTCAAGCCTCGCTGGGCACACTTCTCACCCCTCACCAGCTAACTCAGCCCCCTCTCCAGACCTGCACTGGGGTACACCTGGGTGGGTGCAGGGTCTCCTGAGGGCAAAGGGTGAAGACAGGAGGGAAACCCCAGGAGGCAGCACGAGCCACAGGAGTGGAGTGAGGCAGCTGCAGGCGAGCAGGCTGAGGTCAGAGACAGGAGGCCACGGGCGTGGACTTAGGAGCGGGTGAAGGAGTCGGTGCACTCCTGGCCACGTCCTCTCCCTGCTGCAGCAGCGTGGGGAAGCCGCCTGCCACGGCTCTGTGTGGGGACAGCCGTCGGGGCACACGCACAATTGCCACTTCCCCCTTTCCATGCTGGCACACCCCCTCTTCCCGCCACATGCACATCCGTGTCTACCAACCAGGGTCTCTCTGGCCTGGTCTCCCCCTGTGCCCACCCTCAAGAACCCTGAGGCTCCTGGGTCATGGCGCTGGTGCGAGTCCTCCCTGCCACAGCTCATGGTGCGGCCCCTCCAGCTGCTCCAGCTGCTCCAGCCTCACATTCAGCTCAGGCAAGGGGCAGTGAGGCCGAGACTGCTTGCTTTGCTGAGTGCACAGGCAGCCCGTGGAACAGCACCCACTGCTCAGGCTCTCCCTGGAACAACGACCAGGGTGCAGATGGTCCCACGGCGTCCCCTTGCTTGGGGTGGCCACCTGAGTCACCAGCACACAGTGTAGATGACCCCAAGCACGCGAGGCCCCGGGAGGTGAGGCTACTTAACGACACACGAAGTCCCACCCGTGGGCTCAGCAGGAGCAAGGCAGCCGGGAAAGCCACAGAGCTGGACGTCCGGGGCCTCCACTTTGCCCACGAGTGAGAACCACGTTGGGGAACTGTCTGGATAAGGAACCGGGGCCAGCGTAACAGCAGCAGATACCGTGTCTGCCCACCGTGCCAGCTCCAACAGCCCCAAGCCCATTTTGGTTCTTCCAGGGCAGTGGCACGCCTTCCTGACGCTCGACCCCCGCCATGGCTCGCTACGCCGCACGGGACAGCGCTGGAGGCCCCAGCAGCCACATTCCCTGTGTGAATCCCCTCCAAGCAAAATACAGAAGGCACAAAACAGAGTCCCAAAGTTACACGAACGTTTAGTGTGTGTGGTGTGGAAGCCACACCAGAGTTCCTCTGGCCACTATAAACAAGCACAGAACGTGGGGAGCAGTGTGCACCCACACTGCGCATCCGGAGCCTGCAAAGGCTCACAAAGCACCCCCAACAGAGATGGGTCCTGAGCCCCCACCCCAAGGGCTTGACCATTACCGTACCTGGCATCTTTGACTCGCTCATTAGCTTGATAGTAACCCGCGATCACATAGCTATTGTCTTTGCACCACGAATCAATCTGAAACGAGAGCAGAGACGGAGACAGGACGGTCGATTTCCCCCCGAGCACAAGATGAGGTGCTGGGCAAGCAGGATCCCACCCTCCGTCCTTCCCAGCAGGCTGAGAGCGAGGCAGCCCCCGCACAGGACCTGCCCCAGCAGAGGGACTGTGGGCGCCGACACGGCCGCAGCGGGGGGCTGGACACAGGAACCCTGCCGTCCCAGCTCTGCGGGAGGCCCCACTGACCACAGGGAGGATGAGGATGGGCACGCTGCATCCCCACGGGAGCCTGGTGGTGACCTCAGCGTTCTCTGTGCGTTTGACAAAACCACTCTTCTTGTTAGAGCTTCCTGCAGGGCCAGCACCATTATTAAACACAGTAAAAGCCCGTCTATTTGGTCATAATGAAATCTTAATAGCTGTAACATGCTATTTTTAATCTGAAGAGGGAAAAATTGATGCCTCAGGTTTTTTCCCTCCCTCTCTCTTTTTTTCCCTTCTGTGAATCAACTGCTTAAAAATATGTGTATTTTATAATACAACCCTCATGCTCTTTTCCCTGAATTCTGGTCAGGCCTGTGTTGGTCTCCTTTGTGACTAAAAACAGACTTTACCAGACAGTCCCACGCCAAGGGTCCCTGGCTCGCACAGGATCAGCACATTTCTGGCCTGGGCTCCTGGCACCACGGGACATTCTGGCCATCTCCCCAAACCTTAAGGGTTTTGTCCTCCAATAATTACAACAGCGCCATCACTGTCACTTGTCGCAAATCACTGCACATGCCTTTCACATTCCAGGATCTTTCATATTTATTTACTTTTCTTGGAAATGTGTACCAGATTTACAGTATCTGTCTGCTGATTCACTCCCCTAATGGCTGCACTTGCTGGAGCTGAGCTGATCTGAAGCCAGGAGCCAGGGGTTTCTTCCGGGTCTCCCACATGGTTGCAAAGTCCCAGGACTTTGGGCCGTCCTCCACTGCTTTCCCAGGCAGCAGGCAGGGAGCTGGATGGGAAGTGGAGCAGCTGAAACATGAACTGGTGCCCATATGGGATGCGGCTGAGTGCAAGGTGAGGATTTTAGCCATGAGCCCTTGCACTAGGCCTGCAGGCTGTCTTTAGCTTCTCACGACCCGTGTGACAAGGCTCATCTTAAACTTTCCAGGTCAGAAGTCTTAAACGCGTCAGCACGGCCGTGCTCCTTCCGGAAGTGCTGGGGAAATCTGTCGGAAGCCGCCGACATTCCTGCAGAGTCCAGCGTGGAGTAGGCATAGAAAAGAAACGGACCACTACAGTTTCAGGACCATAAGGACAGTGTGAGAAAGCTGTGCTCTTCACAAAGGCTGGCACTGACTCATCACACCTGTCAAGCGAGCATTCCTAAGGATAGTTCTGCCAGTCATTTCCCCTCGAGGCAGGATATCAGCCGTTCTCAATAACGGCACACATCAACTAGTAACACATTCCTACTGCAATCCTCATTCTACAGCTCCGTCTTGAATCAGTTAAGGAGGACGTGCATCACAGGAGGAGGGACCTAAAGATCAAGGAAAGAGGGAAAGAACAGATTCCCACTACACCTGGACTTGACACCCTTGATTAGCATATGGTCAGTGGGGGCAGCGGAGACGGCATGAATAGTAAAGGGCAGCATCAACTTCCAAGCTCACATTGATAGTAAAGGCCAACTCGGCAGTGGCAGACAATTCCTGATCAGATTACAGAAATCCCAGTGAGGTTGTCTGGTGTCCAAGCAGAGGTGGAACTGCCTTCAGGTGGATGCAGAGCCATCCGCCGGCCTTGCCGTGCGGCGGGAGAGTCCTCGCAGCCCTGCCTGCAGCGGGACCGTTCTCGTCACACCTCCGTGTCCTCCACACCCACTGCACGGACCCCAGCAACATTCCTTGGCTGTCAGCCACTCTGACCACCTGCCACCTGCACTCTGCTGACTGCCACCTGCTTAAGTTCTTCAAAGGGCCTCGTGACTCCCCTGTGCAGATGTGGAAAGCTCAAGATAATCCTAACTTAAAATTCATCTGCAAATAGCCCCCTTCAAAATGCTTCATTTCCTACTACCTGGAAGGCCTGGTGAGAACAAGTGAGCGAGCGAGAGACCGCTCATCTGCTGGTCCAGTCCCGTCATCCCCAATGGCCAGCTCTGGGCCAGGGCGAAGCCAGCCAGTCCTTTTAGGCTGCACATGTGGGTGACCTGAGCCAGACAGGAAGCAGAGCAGCTGGGCTCTAGTCTGTGACATGGACGGCCCACTGTGCAGCAACGCCTGCCCTTGCAAAGTCCCCTCTGAGAAGTCAGGCCTGAGGAGGGGAACGCAGGCACGGCTGGGTGGGCATGCTCTGGGTGCTGATTGGACACAGGTCAGCATGCCGCGACAATGTTGATGAGCCCCAACAGAGCAGTGTCTGACACTGTCAACTCTGGCTTAGAACCAAGGTCTGGGCTGACCCTGGCAAGCACACGGCACTGCCCCTGAAGCTGCCCTCGGAGCACTGCCCACGACAAACCTAACGCAGACCTGGGCTGGCGGAGCGAGCAAGAGCTGGCACGAAACAGAAAAACAATGTCATGACCTGGAACTTCTGGAATTCCTTGAAAAGGCTTGTAGAGCAAGCCAGTCTGCAAAAGCTCTGGAATCTTTCAAATGATCCCAAAAACCACCACCATGAGCAGTGTGCAAGGACAGATAGCACTGTGTTGGCCGCAGGAGGGACAGACACCACAGAGGGGAACACATTCTCGCTGGGTCATGATGTAACAGGTCTGGTGCCAGTCTGAGTCCCAGCTTCTTCACTTCTGATCCAGTTCCATGCTAATGTGCCTGGGAAAGCAGTAGCGGCTGGGACCCTGAGCCAACCTGGAGATGCAAAAACCTCCCAGCTCCTGGCCCAGCTCTGGCTGTCACGGCCCTTTGGGGAGTCAACCAGCAGATGGAAGATCTCTCTGTCTTATGATAGCCCAACTTCTAGCATGCACCCTGTGAAAAATCAACACAAAGATCAAGTTGAAAACAGAACTGTGAGCCCTGTTGCCAGTTTGCTGTAACACCCTGAATGCCGCGCATTCTGCCCTGTTCAGTCTCCTCAGAGCAGGACACGGACCGGTCAGCAGGAGCCCGTCACTTCTCCCCAGCGCTCCTTCCGGCTCGTCTGACCGCAGGCGTGTGGCACACTGTGAAAGGCGCCGAGGCCCTCCGAGTCACGGCACAAGCACCTTCTCTCGGCCAGCTCGCCAGTGCTGTACTGTCTCAGGGACCGGAAGGCAGGAAGGGGCCTCGCAGAGCGGCCCTCCTCCCAAACCTACCCCACTCCCCAAGCTCCCCTGCTTGTGCCCCGTCCACGGGCATGACAGCCCTCAAGTCAGGCCATCTGCAAGCACCCGCTCAGAATGCGGCCTGCTGTGGATCTGCGGGGTTTGGAGTGCTGAATCCAGTTGCTTCACAGCACGGACGCTGCCCACCCGGAGCCGCAGTCACACAAGAGCTCAGAGGGAGAACCCAGGACAGCTGCAGGCTCGCCCACACGGGCACACGGGTGCTTTGCCAAGGAGCAAAGGGCACGAGGGAACAGGGCTTGAGGGAGGGCGGCGGCAGAGGACCCGGGGCACGCCAGGGACAGGGAGCAGCCCGAGGGGAGACCAGGACAGATGGGGCTTAGAGAAGCAGCAGCGCCATGCTAATTTCCCTGCTGATGTTCCATGGGGCTTTGCCATTAGAAATAATTCCTTTGCTACTTACGTCACAGGGTTATCAGGATAAATAAGATAATAGGCATAAGTAGTTAAGAAAAACCCTCCAGAGACGCATGGATTTTTTAAAAATGGAAAATTATAATGAAGCCTCGCTCCCGCCGGCTCCCGTGGGGCGCTCTGGCAGACTGCGGATCAGGCAGTGTCCCTGAGGGCCGCGGGAACAGGGCCTGGGTGCAGACGCGAGGCTGGAACTGCCCTTCCTCCAGCTGCCTGCAGAGAAGCTGGGGCTGGCTTCAGGCTCTCGCCACCAAGTTGACACAGAAATATCACACACAGGAGAGGCTTAGTGGTAACGTAACAAGATGGACTCAGGCTGTGAATTTCCCTCAAAATCACTTCACCTGCACCAGACTGGAATATCTCCTTTTGAAGACAGATCTGTCTGTAAGATGGAGCTATGGACAGACAGAGCCCTCCCATCGGCCTCAGCGGGGCAGGGCTGAAGCCGGGAGCCAAGGAAGCGGGCACAGCTCGGCAAGGCCACGCGTGACTGTCAGAGCTGAGCCTCTGCCAGCATTGCCCGCATCCCACATGGGCACCAACTCCACTCCCAACCCAGCTCCCTGCTAATGAGCGGCCTTGGCCCTGCACCCACAGACTCACAGGCAGCTCCTGGCTGTGGACCAGCACAGCTCCGGCCACTAAGGCCATTTGGGGAGTGGGTCGAGCTGAACCATCTCCCTGTCTCTCCTCTCTGAAATTGTGACTTTCAAGTTAAACAAACAAATCTACAAGAACAAACAAGGAAAAAAAAAAAAAGCAAGGAAACAAGGTTAGGACCAGGCTGCAGGAGTCCCGCTGGGGGCTTGCCTGGGGCGGGGGCGGGAGGCAGTGGCATGCTGCGTGCCTGGCGCCAGGGAGGCCTCTGGCACTGGCTCCCCGGGTGAGCGCCTTGGGACGCCGCCCTGTGCCCGGGGAGCATGCATCCACAGCGAGTCCAGGGTGTTTACGGCTGGCGTGCTCCGTCCTCCCGGGCCTGCACTCACGAGACCGGGACGACTCTGAGCAAGACGACACAGCCTCACACAAGGGCTCGGCTGGCTTCCCTGCCCTTCACACCCCAGGAGCCGATGTAGCTGTGTGTGTAGCTCCTGGCTCCTGGCTCCTGGCTCCGGATCAGCTCAGCTCCAGCCGTTGCAGTCACCTGGGGAGGGGACCAGATGTTTCTGTCTCCCCTCTCTCTGTAAATCTGGCTTTCCACGGAAAATAATTAAAAAGAAAAGACATAAAACGACAAGCTAGTGATCTCTGACACTCCTAAGGTGCCGCATCATTTTGGAGCAGCTCTCAGAGCCACAGGACCGAAGGGGGAATTTTTTTAAAATTTATTTTTGTTGGAAAGGTAGATTTACAGAGAAGAGACACAGACATGGAGATCCTCCATCTGCTGGTTCATTCCCCGTATCAGCTCATAACAGCTGGAGCTGAACTGACCCGAAGCCAGGAGCCTCTTCCGGGTCTCCCACGCGGGTGCAGGATCCCAAGGCTCTGGGCCGTCCTCCCCTGCTGTCCCAGGCCACAGGCAGGGAGCTGGATGGGAAGTGGGGTGCCGGGCAAGGCACTGGCGGCCACCTGGGATGCTGGCGCCGTGGGCGGAAGCCTAGCCTGTTCACGGCTTTGGCTCCCCTAGCATGGTTGAGGCAGTTCTGGTCACCCTGCTGTCCTCGCTGTCCACACTTCTCCTTTGCGCAGTGACCCCCGGCTCCTGCTCTCCTGGCTCTGAGTCACCGGCCCACATGCCTTTACGCTTCAGGCCCATCTCTCAACACCAGGATTTCCTCATCTGCTCACCTCGGATATCCACGACCCCTTCCCCGCTTCCCAAACCTGTTTCTCAGGGAATGGCGCCAGGAGCCGGACGCAGGGGGCAGGTGCACGGGGCGGAGCTGGGCCTCCACTCTCCCGGCCCCCTTCTGCCAGGCCCCTTCTGCCAGGCCCTCTGCCCCCTTGCCACCCTGGATGCCCCGGGACCTCCCCTGGTTGCTGTGCGTCCTGCTGCAGCTCCCGGCCCCCCGCCTGCCATCAGGGACCCGAGCCGGGCAGGCCTGGCCTGGCCCGCAGCCCGCGCCGGGGTGTCTCGCACAGGCGCTCCTGGGTCCCGGGACGGCGGGGAGCGCACGGGCGCCAGCTCCCTGCTAGCAGGACCTTTGCCCCCGCGCTCAGCGCCGTGCCCGGGAAGCCTGCAGCAGGCCCGGCCGAGCCTTACCAGGGTGAGGGCCACCTCCAGCATCGGGGCGAGGGCCAGCGTGCCGTGGAACAGGGGGATGCAGTCCACGAAGAGGGTGTGGTGGGCGCCCGCGCCGCCCGGAGGCAGGTGCTCCTTGCGCGGCTTCTGCTTCTCGGCCACCAGCAGCCCGTTGACGGCGCAGTGCGGGTACTTGGCGCCGTGCAGCAGCATCTTGCAGTAGGCCTGGGTGGTCAGCTTCACGCCGGGCATGCTGAGCCCGGGCCCCGCAGGCCGAGGCCTGGGTCCGCGCGGCGCCTCAGCCGAGGAGCGGACGGCGGGCGCAGCCCCTGCCGGGCCCGGCCGCCCACAGCCCCGCCGCGGCCTCGCCTCGCCCGCTCCGCCTCGGCCCGGTCCACTCGCGCTGGCCGCCCGGCGCCCGGTTGCCGCAAAGCGGCGCGGCCGGCGTTTTGCGACGCGGGCGGCGGCGCATGCGCCCTTGGCCTCCGCGGGGCGTGGGCGGGGCCTCGGCGATCCCGTGGTGCTCCGCGGCGGGGCTCGCTCTCTTCCGGCCGCGGCGCTCGGGCACTGGGGGCGCTCGGGCACTGGGGGCACTCGGGCACTCGGGCACTCGGGCACTGGCGGCGCGGAGGGCGGTCGCGGGTCGGGGCGGCAGGTGAGGCGGCCGGCCGGGCGGGGTGTCCGGGCCGCGCTCGGGGGGCCGCGGGGCGTGCGCTCGGCCCGGGGCACGGTGCCCGCTGCATGGCGGCCGGGCCCGGGGCGGCGGGGACATTGAGGCCGGGCGCGCGGCACCGGGGGCGGCGGCGGCTTCCGTGTGGGTCCCCGGAGCGCCCGGCCCCGCTTCCCGGAGCTCCCCCGCCGCCTCCCCGCGCCTGCGGCCCGGCCCCGCGCTCTGACCTTGGCGCGTCCGCTGGCCCGGGCGCCGGCTGCAGGGGCCGTGCAGGCCCGGACGGGCCATCCTGCAGGGCGTGGGTCGCGGGTGGACGGGCCATCCTGCAGGGCGTGGGTCGCGGGTGGCGGGTGGACGGGTCATCCTGCAGGGCCTGGGTCGCGGGTGGATGGGTCATCCTGCAGGGCCTGGGTCGCGGGTGGATGGGTCATCCTGCAGGGCCTGGGTCGCGGGTGGATGGGTCATCCTGCAGGGCGTGGGTCGCGGTGGCCGTGCCATCCTGCGGGGGCTGTCCCCGGCTGCCCGGTGCACTGCGGGTGTCCAGTGCCCGCGAACCGCCCCGCTGCCCCGCAGAAGGCAGACCGCTTTCTCAGTCACCTTGAGATGTCCTTTTCTTCCATTTTTTAAAGAAAGGCCATTTTTTACCTTCCTCCTGAAATGTGCCCCGTCAAAACCTACGGAAACCCGGAAATAAAGCCTTATTTGAGGCTCTTCGGTGGCTTTGTCCAGGGAAGAGGGGAGAGGGGACTGGCATTTGCTTTCAGAGTTATCTGCGGGCACACACGCAAGCCGCCCCCGGAGCAGGTGCTAGGTTCCCAGTGCCCAGGACGGTGCCCGTTTTCTTTCAGAATGTTGGCCTCCAGGGTGCTGGGCCTCATCGGCAGGCGTGCGGTTTCCACCTCGGTGCGTCTGCGTGCTCACGGTGAGTGACAGCTGCTTGAGTGTTGTTCCAGAAGTTGGGAAGGCAGCTTCACAGGCGAGGGGCCAGGGGAAGCAGGTTTCCGGCCGTTGGTTCACACCGCAGTGGCTGTGTGGGCCAGAGTCAGTGCCCTGCAGGCTGCCACCTGCGCCTAGGCGCCCAAGCGCCTGAGCCGTTGTCAGCTGCCCTCCCAGGCCACCGCAGGGAGCTGGGTCGTAGTGGAGCGGCCAGGACTGGAGCCAGTGCCATCACACAAGGCTGCCACCTGGAGACTGGGCACCTTGATGCCCCCTGGCCGTGTGCCTGAGGCGCTCATGGCAGCAGGCGCTGTCTGGAACCTTCTGTGGCTCCCCCACGGCCTTGTCTCCCCTCGCTCACACTGCCTTCTGCGCTGTGCCCTGTCCTCTTCCTCCCCGACTTGGCCTTTCTGCCCCGTGACCGGCCCTGGTGGTCTGCTTGTTCTGTCCTGTGGGCTGTGTGCCTTCTGAGGCGAGGGCCAGGCTGTCCCCTCCGAGACCAGCCATGCTGTCTCACGCTGTACCTGTCACACTGTGCCCGGCCCCCGCGCTGGACACAGCCATGCTTGCAGGAGCTCTCGGTGCTCACGGTTCTGGCTGCGCTGACCTGAAGTCTGTGCGTGAGACTGGCTGGGTAGAGGCCGTGGTGGCCTGCCAGGCGGGGGCGGACGCCCCGATGGTGTCCCTTGAGGCGCCGTGGGCCCACCAGGTCTGCTGGCCCAGGGTGCCCGAGCGGAGCTTCAGGGGCTCGTTTCAGTTTTCAGAAGTGCCATCCTGTGCGTCACTTTCAGGGAGCGTTGTGAAGAGTGAGGATTATGCCCTGCCAAACTACGTGGACCGGCGGGACTACCCGTTGCCTGACGTGGCGCACGTGAAGCAGCTGTCGGCCGGCCAGAAGGCCCTGAAGGAGAAGGAGAAGGCCTCCTGGAGCAGCCTCACCAGGGACGAGAAGGTCGAACGTGAGTGTCGGCGGGCCGTGCCGCGAGCCCTGCGTGTGAGTGACCGGGCTGTGCCGCGAGCCCTGCGTGTGAGTGTCGGCGAGCCCTGCGTGTGAGTGACGGCGGCCGTCCCCGCTGGCCGTGGCAGGTCACCGCGGCTGCCTGCCGTGCGCGGGGCCTCCCCTGGCACTCCCCTGGCACTCCCCTGGGAGCACTGGGCTGTGTTTCCGTCCGCAGTGTATCGCATCCAGTTCAACGAGAGCTTCGCTGAGATGAACAGAGGCACCAACGAGTGGAAGACCGTCGTGGGCGCGGCCTTGTTCTTCGTCGGCTTCACTGCCCTCATCCTCATCTGGGAGAAGCACTATGGTGAGCCTGTCAGTGGGCTCGCCTGGCCCGGTGTGGCCAGGGAGGCTGCAGCCTTGGGCGCCCCGTCGTGCACTGGGGGCATTTCCAGAGAGGGGGAGCTGCTTCCAGGGCCTCAGGAAACATGATGTTAGCTCAAGTTGTGGGAGAGAAGCCGATAGGGCAGAGCTTTCTACAGCACGTGTTTAGCAGCTTTATCTGCCCACCCGTTCACAAAACCAGAAGGGGCCTGCCGGCTGAACTCTGTCAGCAGTTGGGGGCTGCACCCCAGCAGCCGGCAGGGCACCTGTGGGCCCCATTGGGATTGGCCACTCATCCCGCTGTGGTCCCTCGGCGTTCCTTGTGGACAGACGGCAGGTGGTTCAGTTAGCAGGGCTCCTCTACCTTGTAGGCTCTGCGGGACTGTGAGTGTTGCCATCTGCAGTTCCTGGAGAGCTGGGGCTGCCTCTGGCTCACCTAGCTGCTTTTTACCAACAAGGGACTATTTTAAAAGTTAAGAAGTGTCTGTGCCTAGAGACGGGAGCTGTGTGGAGGCCGACAGGTAGACGCTGTGCTGGCCTCGTCCCACAGCGCTGGGGGGGCCCAACGCTGTGCTGGCCTCATCCCACAGTGAGGGCCCGACGCTGTGCTGGCTTCATCCCACAGCGCTGGGAGGGAGTGCCCGACGCTGTGCTGGCCTCATCCCACAGTGCTGGGGGGGGTTCCCGACGCTGTGCTGGCCTCGCCCCGCAGCGCTGGGAGGGCCCGATGCTGTGCTGGCCTCATCCCACAGTGAGGGCCCGATGCTGTGCTGGCCTCGTCCCGCAGTGCTGGGGGCGGGGTGCCCGACGCTGTGCTGGCCCCCTCCCTCTGGGAGGGCCCGGACAGCCGTGGCCGCAGAGACCGCTGCTGGAGACATGCTTTGTGGAATTGCTTTGCAGTGTACGGCCCCATCCCGCACACCTTTGACAAGGATTGGGTGGCCATGCAGACCAAGAGGATGCTGGACATGAAGGTGGGCCCCATCCACGGCTTCGCTGCCAAGTGGGACTATGACAAGAACGAGTGGAAGAAGTAGGAGCCGCCGGGAGCCGGGCCCCGCTGTGTCCGTCAGCTGTGCGCTGACCTACTGGAAACCCTTCTGTCCGACAGTACCAGTCGTAATAAATGACAGATTTACACGGAGTCCCTCGTGGTCCGTCTCTGAGAACCGAGAGTAGGCTCCTCGCCAGTGTGCCCAGGAAGTGCATCCTGGCGATCACCAGGTGGCTTGTGCCTTGTAAGGAGGTGATGGAGTTGTGCTAGGATAGGCATCGGCCCGGGGTGGAACTGCTGGCGGGCACGCTTGTACCGCACAGCGGGGCCGTGTCGGTGCCTGGACAGGCCCTGCAAGGAGCTGGGTTTCTGCCATCCCCATGGGAGGTCTGGATTTTCTGGTTCCCGGCTGGCATTTGTTGGCATTTGGGTAGTGGGCCAGTTGACAGAACCTCGTCTCCTACACAGTCCTGTGCCATGGGACGTTCTGGGTTTTAAACAAGTAAAGTCACAGTAGTTTGCGTGAGCCGCTTTTCTGAGTCTTGCTCCTGGAAGCGGTCAGTCTCAGCAGGGCCACTGGCAGCATGAGGAGCTGTCAGGGCGGGAGCGACGTCCCAGCCCTGACATGCTCTCCACTCCCATTCCCGTTCCCTGTGCACCCTTGACTGGCCTCCCTGGAGCCCCTGCCTGAGGATGCAGCAAGCCCAGGAAGGGCGCTGGAGCAGGGGATGGCTGTGCAGAGGGGCTGCTCTGCTGCACCAGTGAGTCGGATGAGCGGTGTGATCCTGGAGAGCGACTGGGCCCTTGGAGCTGAGCTGGGAGGCAAAGGTGCCCGAGTGGATGTGACCTGACCCCTGCTACACAGGCCCCCGACTCCCAAACTGCCAGCCTGCCCCTGGAGCAGCAAGATACAAGGGGCAGAGTTGCCATGAAAACAATATTAATCTTGGAACCAGGCAGTGCTTCATTCCGGTAGAGTGGTCCCAGCAACGAAGGTGGTGGATAGAGGAGGGCGTGAGTGGGAAGCGGGGACAGACGGCGGGCCTCGGGCATCGCGAGGAGTTTACCTTGTGTGGGAAGACTCCCTTGTCTTGCCTGAGACCCCGCTGGGATCAGCTGCTGCGTCAGCACCGGGGGCTCCATCTTGTCCGGCGCGGTCTGCAAGAGCGCTCTGCCACTGCTTTGGTTTCAGGTTCCAGAGTGTGGCTGTCAATTTTGTTCTTGTCTTTGCCCTTAAAATGGTTCTTTATTGGCAGGTCTGTTAGAATCGGGGAAGGGGCAGGATTCATTGTTGGATTCTAGCCCGCCCCTTCTTTGGGGTCCATGCCTGCCCCCCTTCAAGGCTCTTCCCTGGGCTATGAGCTCCACCCTTGGCTCGCAGGAAACCAGAACAAGTGAAGCCTGGCAGTGCTGTACAGGGCAGCCTG